ATGCTTCTCTTTTTGATAAACACAAGGGTTACAGCTTGGTGGATATTCTGAGCCAAATGACTTCTAAAGGAAAACACAGATTTCCCCAACTTCCAGGAGTCACATTGGTATTCCACATTCACAACCCGAACAGTCTCTTTAAAGACAAAGGTGTCATTATTCACCATACTGAGTGCTTTCAGAGTCATTTCTGCCAGCAGCTCCTGGCTGGTCCAGTCCCAGTTCATCATGAGAATTTGAGAAACTCATTCCATGACACAATGACATGGCTCATCAGAGAAGACATTCTGCTTCTCTAGTTTCATGTCCCCAAGTGATAGCTGGCTCTCCACTTAATATGAGCATATGCACACACCTCCAGTATCACAATAGAAACCAGATGCAAGAGGTAAACAGATTTATAGGATGGTTCAAGATACCAGTAGTCTTAGAATAATCCTGCATACATCCAAGAATTGTCCATCTCTCATATTTGTCCTTGGCACACTGGGGAAGGCATGACAGTGGAATGATTTGAGTCCCAATCGAAATGAATGGTCCCAATCGGCACTGATTTGACTGGGCATGCAGGTTCAATTTATGACAAAATGCCATCACTATTATCCATCTCTGATAATTCTATGGTGTCCATAAAATGGCCCAGAACTTAAGGTATCGTCAGAAGATTTGATTTGGTCTTTAACATCAGAAGGTCAAGACCTTCTCCAGGTGATACGCCAACTTGAGTTTACTTTTAGGGGATGTGCAGAGTTGAATGGATTCTAGTTCCAGCTTATTTAAAACTATCTTCTCTCAACACCATCTCCGAAGTCACACACTCAGTCAGGGATGCCTCTCTGAATCCCTACAAAGCCCACTCAAATCCAATATCCAGAAAACAAGCTGATGCAGGCTTTAGCTACCATTTTCCAGACACTTCCTTCTCTGTCACATAGAGACCCCTCACACATCTCTCAAGACCCCTCTCCTCAGCTTGCTGTTAGCCTTTCCAGACACCAGCTCTCCATCCACCTACAGACACTATCTACGTATAGCAGACCAGATGGGAGAGAAAACTTCCATTTCACATTTTCTGAAGATACAAAAGTGTTTAATTTTCCAATACTGCCGATGGCTCGGAAAAGCAGTATACTCTGTCTCTGCTTCAATTACCTCGTTCTCTTTAAGCAAAATGAAATTTGAAGCCATGCAGAGGCTCTGGTACCAAAGGAAGAGCATTAGCATAAATATTGGTTTGGTGGGACTCACATTTTTCTTGGACTCACAGAGCTGAAGCGCTTGCTTTTTATTTACTTATTTTCCTTCCATCTTGCTACACATTTTTAGCTATCAGCAAAACCCAACTTTTGTCATCAGAAAACTGCTTCTAGCTAGGCTTTTAAATTTGTCGCTGGCCATCTATCAGAAAGTGATTAAGAATAACAACCTTTGACTTAAACAAAATCATTTAATCAGGTAAAATAGCCTACCACTAAAGAGTGACGGAAGCTAAGGTGGTGTTGTTGGTGAAGGTAGCTAGTAGATATTGGAGAGTCTTGAGTTAGCAACCAGAACCTGTCATTCGAATCAGGCCTGCAGGCACCAGTAAAGGAATAGGATCACTCACTGTGTCTTTGTTAGGATTGGTGACCCTGACTTGTCAATCAATACCAGGCACTAATATAGGCAAACAACTTAGACCACCTTAATCAGCCACAGTCCAATCAATGCTTAGAGCCCTGTCAGACCAACGGATAGTAATTCTTACCTTATATTGAAATGGAAATTCTTGCCTTCTCTTGCCTGGATTTTTTTTTTTTTTTTGAATCATGTTTCCTGTATGTAGGAGTCTATCTTCCCTGCCAATTTTTCTGGTCAGATTTAACTAGCGATCCTACTGCCTAACCTAAATAACATTGACGTATTACCAAATAAGCTTTCCTGGCTTGTAATCGCCATTTCTCTTTAGCTAGACATGTGTCATCTTTAGGATCCATTCATCACTTGATGTGGACAGAATGAATCCTCTTTGGTTACCAGACCTAAGGCTAAGCCATACTCAAAGAAGCTGTTTACAAAATGTAGCTTCAGAGATGGGGATAAAGCTCAGCCTGCCTAGCATGCACAAAGTCCTGGGTCCAATTCTCCGCATCACACAAACTGGGCATGGTGGTGTAGGCTGTAATCCCAGCACTGGAGAGACAGAGGCAGGAAGGGCAAAAATTCCAAGTCATCCTCAGCTATGTAGGGAGCTTGAAGCCAGCCAGGGATATATAAGACTCTGTCTCAAAAACAAACAAGCAAACAAACAGGCACATTACCTTCAACGTGCTGCTAGTGGAGGACCGGGTCTGTCAGTTAGGCCTGTACTTACTGTGTCTGACTTTGGAGGTCTGAGACCTAACCATTTATATGCAACATTCCTGCACTTCCTGCCCTCCCTCCCCAGCTCGCTGATGCTCTGGGCCTCCACATGTTTTCCCTTTCTCTGAAGCACATGGCTGTTTGACTTCCCTGCAGTCTCCTGAAACACCGATCCTATTCCAGAGCATCTGTGTGTGCACTGGGGATTCACTTGCTCACGCTCCTTCTGTGTGTTTTTCCCTCTTTAACAAAAGGCTCACTCAAGGTTGTGACTTGAAACAGCCTATTTGACTAAGAAATAGCCAACCTGTCAAATGTTCCTAAATAAATAACCACTGTAGATCTGTCCATGTTTCACAGGTTTCTCCTAAACGTTTTGCATTCCCTCAATACAGATTCATTTCTAAATACACAGAAGTTTTTGACAACCAATGGCCTGGAAAATCAAACATCTTCCAACAGCTCTGATGACCTTTCTCTTTAGGAAAAAATGGCATTAAAACAAAAAAGGTAGGCAGGTAGCTTACTCAGTAAATTGCTTACTACATAAGTATACCGATATATGTTTGAACCCAAAGCGCCCATTAAAATAAAACAGACAGACAGAGGGGGTGCAGGGAGGAGACTGGGCATGGTGACACACATTCATAATCTAAGAGCTGGGAAGGTAAAGACAAACGGATAGACAGATTCGTGATTCTGGTCAGCCAGTTGATGTAAATCGCTATAATTCAGGCCAGTGTGATAGTTGCAGTCTCAAAAGGTAAAGTGGAAAATGACTGAGGGACACACATAAAATTGACCTCTGGGGGCTGGAAAAACGGCTCAGTGATTACGAGCCCTGACTGCTCTTCCAGAGGTTCTGAGTTCCATTCCCAACAACCACTTGGTGGCTCACAACCATCTGTAATGGGATCCGATGCCCTCTTCTGGTGTGTCTGGAGACAGCTACAGTGTACTGACATGCATAAAATAAATCTTAAAAAAAAAATTGACCTCTGGCCTCAATACACAGATGCCTACATAGGCATCCGCTACAAAGTGGAAAAGTGCGCGCACACAGAAACACGAAGATGCTCTCTGTGGAGAGAATCATGCCAGCCAGCCTGGTGTCACTCTGAGAAAGCCTCAATAGTCCCAACTGCTCAGAACAGCAAAGCCATCTGCTCACAGCTTCCCCTGAGCTCATTGGTTCCACAGACAATGAAACTCCAGACAACCCTGGAGCCTCTTGGGTTTTATTCATAAAATACAACACAACCTTGTACACATTTTACACCTAGAAAAAGCCTAGCATCTTGATCCAGCCAGGCCTGACCCGTTTGCTGGACTCATCTGTGAATGCCTGCTCATTCTGTGAATTAACATTGTACTTACTCATCTCTGGCAAGTCAAATGTCACCTGCCATATTTTTGTCCCCTCCCCCTTTCCCTCTGCTCTCAGAGTACCATGCTCTCCTCTCTCTTTAGCCCACCCCTAGGTTTGGCTCATATAATTTCCCCACAACTGAATGGGAAACTCAGATAGTCAAAAGCCTAACATGGCTGGGTTTTAATCCAGTATTTCAGATAGTACCTGGCTCTTAGAAGCTGCCACAAAAACAATTGTTCAATGGATAAATGGACAGTGTAGCCACAGAATTTTGTTTTAAAAAGCATTCATCATAGCGTAGCAGCAATAAAAAAGTCACACTGGTGTCCTTTTTTAAAGAGAGATCCTGAAGAGACTCTACTGTGCAGGGCAAGAGTAGAGCATTATTCCTAGAAGAGTCCAGAAACTATTCCATCATTCCAGTGGGGCCGCCAGATACCACTTGCAGCTGGACCAGTCAGTGAGGTAGAAGAACCTCTAATGTCCACTTACATCCTTCAGGGTAGCCTGTACTCTAGGTCACCTCCCCAAACCGAAAAGAAATGGGAAGTATCTTCTAGGAGATGAGTGGCCTGGGCTTTGCCTAGTCTAAGCCACAACACAAGCCTCATGAACACACAGAGACTCAGCAGAGTATTATTATTGTCTGAGGGAAGGTACCAGGCAGGCATTGTGGAGGGAGAGGATGGCCAAGATACCAGCTGGGCTGGAGGTATCTAGCACCCAGGAAGCTCTGGGTGAGACACTATCACTACATTAAAAACTTGAGTGTTGGTGTACAATTTAAATGACAAATCTGGGGGGTGGAGGGAGGGGGAGAAGAATTCTAGGTCATCATTGGATAGACAGTGAGTTCAAGGGCAGCATGGCATATATGGAAATCTGTCTTTAAAAGGGAAATAAAAATAAAAGATGCCAGTCACTTTATCCTGCCTTATGAGGTCCCTCTTGCTTGCCCAAGGTAGCTTCTTCTTTGAAACACTTAATCTAATGTTGAGTGCTCAAGACACATACTCATTCTCCTGTTCTCTGAGAGCACTTCATTTAAGTCTATCTCAACATATCTCCCTAACTCATGTGGGGGAGAAGCATATTAGACCATGAGTCTCACATGGGCAGGGATGTCACTTGTCATCTTGGAATCTCTATTAGAGTTCCATCCCCAGAGATGAGATGTGCTTTGCCAAACGTAAACTAAACTGAACTGAGTTGAAGGACTGAAAGATCTGCTCTAGAAACTGAACACTACGTAAAGCTCCCACTAAGACGGTTCAGATGCCCTTACCTCCTTAAGCACCAGCACGCACTTGCCAGGTCCCACTGTCTGAGGTAGCTCGGAAATCCTTCCTTTGTTCAGGAATGGACCTGAGAAACAGCGGTGGTTGATGAACAGCTGTGGACAGCAGTACTCCTCATCGGCAACTCCTGCTGGAATAGAACGGTACAGTGGGATGTTGGGAATTGCCGCATCATGACTTATGGGGCTGACAAGACCTGTGCTGGATCCACAGATCTCATTTTGACTGATGAAGAATCTGGAGAAGAAACAGACTCTGAATGGTCATCGCTTCCCTGAGAGCTAGTGCTGTTGTGACTCTGATCAAGCGTTCTAACTTCAGTTTGAAAGTGTGACAGAGAGAAGCATGGTTTTCTTCTTGGAGAAAGGTGTCCTGTGTGCTAACATCAACACATTTTCAGATCTGTTGCACTATCTTAAGACACTGGTTATTTTTCCCACTATGTAAATGTAGACTTTTCTGTGGCTTATATAGCATCTAAGATACAGAAAGAAACAGACTCCAACATTGACAAACATTGTCCTACAGATACGATCCCCTGTACATCCTATTCCAGTAACTTCCCTCATTTCCCATAGACAGTGGTTCTCAAGCTTCCTAATGCTGCAACCCTTTAGCACACTTCCTCATGTTGTGGTGATCCCCACTCATAAAACTGTTTCCATTGCTACCTCATAAGTGTCCTTTGGCCACTGTTATGAATCTTAATGCAAATATCTGTGTTTTCCAATGGTCTTAGGTGACCCGTGTGAAAGAGTCAATCGACCCCTAAAGGGGTTGTGATCCTCAGGCTGAGAATCCAGTGTCTTAGAAGTATCCGTCACACTGAATATATTTATCATTCCCATTCGAGTTAATCAACTTTAGTGCTCAACACGAGAATGCGTGCAGCAAGTGAGAGATATCTGGGATCGTCATGAAAACATTCCCTGGATGGTTTTCTATCACATTTTGTTAGTTTGCTTAAGTTTTGTAGAGCCACAAGTCAATAAACAGCAAATTTTGCCAACAAACTGAAAATGCTCCATTTTCACATGCATACATGATTCTAACCTTTTATGGACATGCCACAATTTGTCATTTCTCTTAAAAACTCTTAGCTGTTGCTACTTTTTTAGAGGTTCCAGGAATGATTTAAGGAATGCACCTTCAAAAGCTGACTTTAACATATGGGCAAGAGACCTGCATAAGGCAGAGTGGACATAGAACTGACTTCTCCATCCAGCCACATACCTACAGATGTAAAGTTGACCATACTGTTCCCCACAGTGATGAACCTACTGACGTTCCCAACAGCATCATGTCAGAACTGCTGTTCCACATCCAGGCCAACTAGGCACTGCTAGACTTTTCCATATTGACAGTGTAACGTAGAGAAAATTACCCTTGCAGGGCTTGAACTCCCAACCTTTGAATACATTCATTCAGCAGGGTATGTTGGTCTCTGGGTCTACAACCCAGACTAGTGTGGGACTCACAGGTCTTCTGCTATGGGATCCCAGGTGCTGGAATAGCAGGTGTGCACAACCACATCCAATTCAAGTAAAATTTCTTGGTGTTTATGAATACAGAATAATGTCTCTCTTTGGACTAAGGGCCCTATACTCTCTGATGTACTCTCTCAGCCAAGACTTGCCAGAGAAACAGTGAGATTTCTTCAGAAATCTTACTATTCGTTTGAAGGCAATTTAACAATTCAGAAAGGCCTGCTTCTTAAACTTTAAGAGCCAGTAAATAGGAGATAGGAATTTTATATTGAATGTACCAAAAAGAGTAATATTACTGCAGTAGACTATAAACTGATGTGACTTTTTAAAAAAAAAAGCCATTTTGAAGTTCTATACAAGAAGGAAGGTAATTAAATTCACAAACTGAATTTACTTATAATTTTTGGTACTTTTACCCAGACCTTTAGTTAAATGTTCACCTAGTCTATTTATAGAGAACTCGGCTCTACCAGTTTATGCATACATACCTATAGTCACATTTGATGGTCCAATGGCAGCTACAACTCTGTCTCACAGGGATGCAAGACTTAATGTGTTGACAAACATTGTTCAAAATCAGACTCAGGTTTTTATGAGTGAATCAGAAGTGAGTGGATATATGTAAGTCACTGGGGCAGTGGTGCAAATAGATAAGCCAAAGACAGTGGCACACACTTGGAATCCTAGTACTAGGTAGGCTGAGGCAGGAGGATTGAGAGGTCAAGGCTAGCCTGGGCTACCTAGCAAGACTATGCCTCAAAAAGGCATGTGGAACTGTGATAAAATGACAAGAAAGGAATGGCTAATCTTAGTTCTCTCAATGTTTTCCTTTTCTTCACCATGGTCAGGGATGCAGGATGCTAATCTGATTTACAATAGCCAAATGTCAAACACATTCTTTTCCTGAAGATTGCAAGACCTGTCTACAGGTCCTGACCAGTAGTAATGATAAAGTACAACTTTAGCTTTATAAAAGTTTTTTGAAATGTATATCTGTCAGTGCACAGCAACAGAAGGAAGGAAAACGGGCTCAAAGTTGACAGGCAGGGGCTACAGTCACAAGCATGTCTGCAGACACAACGACGCAGTGGAAAGAGATGGTCTCCTTGATGAGGTGTATTTACCTGCAGTGTCCATCTGCGGCGGCGGCGGCAAGCAAAGCTCATGAGGTATTTTCTCAACAGGCACTGGGGGTAATAATCTGTGGACAAAGAAAATCAACTATTAAGGGCACAGGCTTAAGAAGAAAGGATTGGCACACCGTGAACTGTTCATATTTAAAATTGGTATGCCAGGAATTCAAGACAAAGCCATTACAAGGTAGGCTGTGTGTACGAAAATAGCCCCAGTCGACAAAATAAGGAGGTCATTTTGAAAAAAAATCTGTGTTCAAATCCATTTGATGACCCTAAAAAACCTAGGCACACATGCCTCTGAGCGGCCATGCCTGACCAATGAGTTTCTTCTGAACTTGGAATAATGTCTTCAACTACATTCTCAATACAACTGACATATAATTAATGTCAGACTTTTCCACTGTAATTGTCTTAATTAAAACAACCTTCAGGTGACTTTGGACATCTTTAATCTGTGCCTTTGTGGGACACAGATATACTAAAAAGAAGACTCAAGAGGAAGAACTGTAAACTGGTAGTTATTAAAACTTTAATTCTGGCTTATTCTTTTAGAGTTCAGGTAAAATGTTCATAGATAAATGTAATTTTTTTAAGGGTAACACAAAGAGAATATAGGAAATCTGGGGCTCACGGGGGTTCACGTGGGGTAGCCACATAGCAACTGCAATTTTTGAAAATGCACCTAAATGACAAATAAATCATTAACAGGTATCTTAAGACAGAGGAGGGCTGCATCCTCTCAAGCAGTGGATATTAGACTGCAGTTCCCTGAGCCTACAGAACTGGTGTTAGCTGGAATATGTAGGAATACAGATTCTCAGATTAAACCTCAGATACCCTAAATCGGAAATCGTGTGAGTGTGGGGCCCAGCAATCTGTGTGAGGTGCCAGAATCATTAATCTGTGAACTGCTAGATAGGACTCATTAGCAAGAGCTTAATGCTGATCTGTCTACATCATGTTACACAGATAAACTGGAGGCTTAGTCACAAGCCTGCCCTATGGCACTCAGCGACGACTGCATATAAAACACCCTAAGTCATTATCCTCACTCAGTGATAGCTGTAAGTATCTGCTTCATTTCTTTTATTTAAATTTAAGCCTGCCTGCATGCAAAGGTGCTGTTTTCAGTTAACTTTATTACCATATGTTTTTGTTTCCTTAAGAAAACACAATCCCTTCAGATGGAAGGAACATTTGGATGCATTTTAAATATTTTATAACGCGCAAAAGGCTCACCAGAAGTTCCAGCTTTTCAAACACATCCTGCCGGCATGTACAACTTTACCCTAAAATCTCTATCCCTCATCCCACAAATCGCCACTTATCTCCGTACCCAAGAGTAAAGTCAACATTTTTTACACATGAAACCAAATTTGATATTTAATTAAAAACCTCAACAGTTATTGTTTTTAAATGGGGATGTTAAGGCATGAAGAATGAAAGCAACTTCTCAAGTTCAGCCAGACAGGTGTCTGGAGACCAGGGATGACACTGAAGACTTTTGCCTGCAGGCGTTCAGGGTCAGCAAAACAGATCACCCATCTATAAACTACACTTGTCATACGGGGCCATCAAGAATCAGCACCAGAGGCAGTCATGTCCATCCGTGCGAAATTACAAATGAGAAATAACCACAGGGGCTGTAGAAGGCTCTGAATTTTACACGTAATAACTGTGCAAGGAGGAACAGCTGTCCCATGGCTGGTAAGCTACTAGCTAGCTGATGCCCCAAGAAAAACATCCAGGCCTTTTGTAGCTAACTATGCACTTTATAAGAAGAAAAGGAAGGGGGGGGTGGCAATACATACTGTTTTTCCGGCTGTACAAGGACAGTCTTTCTCTTGCTTTTTGCTGTAAAAATGGGAAAAGAAAAAGAATGGGACACTGTTAGTGAATTTAATCCTTTTTTAATGGCTTAGTGTAAAAGTATAACCTGTGTGATTTATTTAGAGATAGTGTCTCATGCAGCCTACACCTGGATAGCTGATGGCTACCTTGCATGTCTGATCTCTCCAGGATCTACCTTCAGAATGTTGGGATTACATGGGTGTGCCATCATGCCCAGAGTAAGTAGTTCTGGGACTGAGCCCAGGCTTTAAGGGATGCTAAGTAGGTACGCACTCTTTTCAACAGAGCAGCATCCCCAGTCCCTCATTACTTCTGAATAGGACAGGGATCATTTTTCTATGTCTTTTAAGCCTCTAAATAATGAAAATAGTCTTTATGGAAAAGTCTTAATTATTATTATTTCTTTATTAAGATGAGTCCTTGAGTCCACTCTTAAAACTAAAAAGCTTTCAAAGTTAAGCGACAAATTTATAAGGTATCTCCTAGCATAAAATAGATACAGTTTTATCAAACATGAAAAATACTTAAGTGCATCTAATCTTATCACCACACTGGTTATTTTATTTTAAAGGGTACCAATATAACAGGTCCTCAGTCTATAACCAGATATCTTGAATCGGATATCTTGGGGGTGGAGATGATAAGGAGATAAAGAGAAAACATTATACTGCACATAAACACATATTAAGATAAATTGTTGCAAACTCCACAGAAATTCTGATAAGGTGAAAACTATTGTTAAGATAATACACCCCCAAGTCAGCCTCAATGAAAGGGAACAGACACCAGGCTGCTGGCCTGTGAGCTCCTGGGTATTCCCCTGTCTCCATCTCCCACCTCATCACAGAAACAGTGGGATTACGAGCCTGCACCACTGAGTCTGGCTTTCCATAGGTTCTTGGATCTGAACTCAGGTCTTCATGCTTGCAGGGAACTGCTTCACCCACTGAACCCTCTCCCTTACCTCATACTATTTAAGTATCTTTCAGGTATGTTAAGGAGAAATAAATGCAAAGATGAATTTTGTCTGAAGATGGTTAAGCCATGGAGTTTCCAGGAGAAGGACGTCACAGTTGCTTTATGTATATGGACGTGATGTGTTGTAATTCAGCTACATGACATGATGTAGACGGGTTAGTACCAAAACCCATGTTCAAGTCTGAACTTGCAGGCATGGATCCTCTTTGCACACTTCATGTAGAGGGCTTATGGAAACAGAGGATGCTCAGTCTCCAACCCCAAGATATCTGATTCAAGATAACTGGTTATGGACTGAGGACCTGTTATACTGGTAAATGAGCAAAAATAATATGATTTGGTATCGGGAGCATCAAAAAATACAAGGTCATATACTGTTAAATTTAAGCATTGCTTAGTTATTGTTAGTAGTCAATGCTAAAAGCATTTAGGTCAGTGAATTGCTGAGATCATGTTTGATTACTTGCTTTTTGTTTTGGGAATGTGTGTGTGGTACCAGGTCACATGTGCATATGTAGGTCAGAGGAAGACATCAAGTGCCTTCCTCTATTCCTCCCCACATTTTGTTTTACACCAGCTTATCTCACTGAACCCGAAGCTTGCCTGTTCCACTAGGCTGGCTGGCTGGCCAGCAAGCTCCTGGAATATACCATCTACCCGTCTCTGATTCCTAATGCTGGAGTTATAGGGTGTGGAGAGTTTGGTCCTTATACATCCACAGAAATAGTCACCTACTGAGCCTATTCTCAAGCCCTATTGATTCTTTTAGGGGGATCTACATGAAAAGAGCTAGAGTCCCCTAAAAAATGATATTAGAAAAATATGATGTCAGCTCATGCCTTCAGTCCCAGCACTTGGGAGACAGAAGTCAGCAAATCTCTGGAAGTTAGAGCCCAACCAGGTGCTACATAGTGAGACACTTTCTCAAACAACAACAACATCAACATCATGATGTCTAACCTAAGTTTTCCCAAACGAAACAATGGACTGCACTGTGATTGACCCCTTACTGTCACCTAGAAGGATGTCCAAATGTCCATCTGATGTCAGCGCTTAAGGAACAACTGAGATACCAATACAGGCATTCCTCAGAACACCTGAAGCCTTTTGTGTCACAACCTCCCTACGCAATAGCCCATTTAGTCACCAAGACTATGCACGCCAGATGTTTATCAAACCTCTCTCTGCTGGGAAACACTTACAGGATGCTTTGTATGGTGTGGTCAAAGGGTAAGAATTCGCTTCACACCAGCCCACAGGAAAGATATCCATGGAATCCATATCTACAATGATCTCTGGCATTGGGGTCTCCAGACCTGTGTGGGAAGAGAAAGAAAAATGATGGGTACCAGAAAATACACACACAAACACACAAACACACACACACACACCATCCCTAAGACTGAGAAATACATTCCTGTGACTGTTTTACAAATTGATAACAGTATAGAGGATGGCTTGTCCAGTCTGTAGCCTTAAAATGGGTACAAATTATTTAGAGAAGCTGAGATTGTTCAAATAAAATAGAAGTTTGGAAGAAACATATGCATTGCCCTAAAAATGGGGAAAGAAAAAGGATGCTAGGAAAAACTGGATCAGAGCCAGATATGTTCGAAAAGGGACCAGATGTCCCCTTTCCTAAGAGTAGCTATGAAATTAAAGACATGTGGTACAGCTTGTAAACCACCATGGGAGAATTTGTTCCACACCAAGCAAAGAGTAACTGTTAACTAAATAAAAGCAAACATTACAGCCAAAAGCAACAACCACAGCGAATCTACTACTTAGGAACTGAGAAATAAGGCAATCTCTTAAGACGATGCATTTGCCACTCAGCTTTGACTGGAGTAGCTCATTTTTGTATGTGTCTGTGAATGAGTATGAGTTCATGTTTGTGTATGTGCATGTATGATACACTTCAGTGTGGAAGCAAAAGGTCAACCTCCTGTGTCATTCCTTTACCACACAAATGTTAGTTTTTGAGATAGGGTCTCTGAGCCCACGATCCTAAGTAGGCTACGCTGACTGGCCAGTGAGACTCGGGGACTCAACTGTCTCTGCTTCGCCATATGCACATATAATGACACTCAGGTTCTTTTTTTGGGAATCAAACAGAAGTTTTTGTGCCTTTGTGGCAAATACCTTACCAACTGACCCATAACGAGGCCCTAGAATCGTTTTCAGTTCTGTTTGACCTGCAGATGCTATGTCACACAGAACATTTTTTTATAAGGAAATCTTTTATTCATGAAAACTGTCTAAAACCACATCCTGTTTCCTAATTGCAAATGTGTCCTGTGGCAAACCATCATCATAGCTGGGAAATGTTCAGAAAAGATGAGAGACCTACACCAGGAGCTGAAGCATGGAACACCTTGGGAGAACAAGGTTGGAATGCATCCACTAGATAGCAGAAGGAAATTCTACAAGGAACCAATAGTTCTCAACAAAACAAAAACATTGCAATGGACAAATTCTCAAATCAAGAACCAAAAGAGAAGAGGTCTATTAATAGCCAGTGACTCTCTGAATCTATCTAGCCTCAATGTCTTCACTGATATTTAAGATAAAAATATCCCTGCACCTCTCATCTGATATCCACCTTATCTCATGGTTTACTTACAGATTTTTAAATCAGATTCTCCCCTAATCTGCCTCCCCACATCAAGAAGCTAAAGACTAAGTCCCAAACACAAAGCAGTCCCAACTGCACCAGGAGAACCAAGACTGAGCACCCATTCCTTCTCCATCCTTAGGAGGATATTGTGAACACTGAGTGTGCACTTTAGTTAGTGAAAGCTCTTAATTTACTACTTTTTTTTCATAATACAATCATAACTTATTTTTATTAAAAGTAGTGAATAGCATAATAGAAACCTTTTTATTCTTTAAGCACAATACAGAAACACTTCACACATGTGAAGCTAAGTTGTCACAATTTCTCTCTGTAACAAATAAATCAGCTCTATTCAATCATTTTAAACATTCAATTATAGCATTCTAATCTGAATTTTCAAAATAACTCTTATTTCATGGCTCTAGATAAATATTTATAGATAACACTGACACAAGTGAACATTTCCTAAGTTTAGCAATGGCTGTAAACAATTTTAGAATTTTGTGAGATGCTAATGATAACTCCACAGAGTCAGATACTAAGCCAATAGATTGATGAATATAAAACAGTTTGGAGGGAGATGGATCAGTCAAAAAAGTGTTTGCCTTGCAAGCACAAATCCCAACGCCTATGTTTGTGTTTGTTGGTTTTGTTTGGCTTTGTTTTTAAACCAGGCAAGGTCGGTATCTTAGTCAGGGTTTCTATTCCTTCACAAACATCCTGATCAAGAAGCAAGCTGGGGAGGAAAGGGTTTATTCAGCTTACACTTCCACACTGCTGTTCATCACCAAAGGAAGTGGAACTCAGGACTGGAACTCAAGCAGGTCAGAAAGCAGGAGCTGATGCAGAGGCCAGGGAGGGATGTCACTTACCAGCTTGCTTCTCCTGCCATGCTCAGTTTGCTTTCTTACAGAACTCAAGACTACCAGCCTAGGGATGGCACCACCACAATGGGCCCTCCCACCCTTGATCACTAATTGAGAAAATGCTTTACAGCTGGATCTCATAGAGCCATTTCCTCAACTGTAGCTCCTCTCCTTTCTCTGTGATAACTCCAGCTTGTGTCAAGTTGACACACAAAACCAGACAGTACAATTGACTCCTTGTCAACTTGACACACAGACATTACTATTAAGCCTCAACCCTTACTTGCTCAAGATTGTAAATGGATCCCAGACATTGGACGGTTGGAGTTTGAGTTTGCTTTTGATTATGACTGTACCCTGATATTTTTCCCTCTTGAAGAAAGTATTTTAGTGAAGTCCACAGTTAAGAGACTTTAAATTGTAAACAGTCTTGAATTTCAAAAGAGATTGGATATTTTAAAGGGATTGAAATTTTAATATGTAAGAATTTGCAAAGACTGTGGGACTTTTAAAGTTATTTAGGCTTCATCAATAGCCTCTCATAGACTCTCTTCATGGTGCCAAGCCTCAACTCCTTTGCATGACCCCTTCAGTCCTGGGCCATCAACTGCATCTGAGGCTGCACCTTCACCAATGGCCTTCCATGGCCTCTCACAGTCCAAGCCTCAGTAGCTCTTCATGACCCCTTCATGCCTTAAAAACCAGTACCACCTGGGTGACCCTTACACATTACCAAGTACAGCTTTAGCAAGAGTTACAACCTTGGCTGTCTCTGGAACACAGCTCTCAAAAAACACTTCCCATACCATTTCACCTCAGTGATGCTGGTTTCTTCTTAATCAACACTAATTTCTTAGCTCCAGCTAACCAGCATCCATAGTCCCAGTAAGACAAAGGTTTCACTTTAGTAGTTCTAGTATCTTGTTAATCACAGCTGATTCTTCAGCCCCAGCTAACCAAAACCACAGAATCTTCACAATCAAAAGAACATGACCCTGGAAAGAGTCTTTAATCTTCACTCTGAAATTTCACAAGCCAGGCCTCCATCTTCTGCACTGTTCTCAACATTATCTTCCAAGCTCCTACAGAACATCCCACAGAGCTCTTAACAACCAATGGATCTTCTAGCTCAAAGTTCAAGGTCCTTCCACAGTGCTCCCCAAAGCATGGTCAGGTTGTCACAGGAATAGCCCACTATGCTGGTCCCAGTTTGTCTTAGGGTTTCTATTCCTGCACAAACAACCATGACCAAGAAGCAAGTTGGGGAGGAAAGGGTTTATTCAGCTTACACTTTCCATACTGCTGTTGACCACCAAAGGAAGTAGAACTCAGGACTGGAACTCAAGCAGATCAGGAGGCAGGAGCTGATGCAGAGGCCATGGAGAGATGTCACTTACTGGCTTGCTTCCCCTGGCTTGCTCAGTTTGCTTTCTTATAGAATCCAAGACTACCAGCTTAGGGATGGCACCACCCACAATGGGCTCTCTCCACTTGATCACTAATTGAGAAAATGCCTTACAGCTGGATCTCATGGAGACATTTCCTCAACTGAAGCGCCTTTTTCTGTGATAATTCCAGCTTGTGTCAAGTTGACACACAAAACCAGCCAGTACAGAAAGGAATCTGGATTCTGTATGTGTCCCACACATACATATACTACACCAATAGAGGAGGGGGCAGGGAGAGATGGTGAGAGGGAGGAAAAACGAAAATTCTTGTACAAGTAAGCAATGTGGGTGTCACCCAGGAAAGTTTCTCCTGATGTCAATCTTGTAAACTCCATTCTGGGTGGTGAGTAGCAATTTCATACTTCCTTATATCAGCCTTATCAATTGCTGTGAGTAGTAATTTCATACTTCCTTATATCAGCCTTATCAATTGCTGTGAGTAGCATAAATCTAGATACATCTAGCAAGATTCCAGTTAACATTTTAAGGAAAATCTAATATTTTGAAGACTGGAGTCCTAACAGCTTAGAAAATGATGCATGTGTCCAGGACTCTTCCTTGCTTGATCCAGAACTCTTGGGATTATAGAAACAAAGCTAGAGGTTTCACCAAAGTGTCAATGCAATATCTATCACTTAATATGTAAGCAAAACATGCTGTATAAAATCTTGAAGACTTTATAAAAATACTTATGAAGGTAAAAGAAAATCCCTTTGTAGATAGGACCACACTCACACTCTGACTTTGTCTAAGCTGAGACCCATCAGTACCACTTGTTCATGCTAATCTAGAAGGTTCATCTCAAAACCCATCAGGAAGCAGATAACTCCCTCCATGGGAAAGTATTCGAATAATGTAGGGTATATTCCATTGAATATACCCTATGATGGAACATTCTGCAGCTATTAAATACTTACTGTAATGATCCCCAACATGTATGTGAGGTAAAAAAACACAGGGTGCAGAACCATGAGTAGAACACACACGTCTGTTTTCAAGGGGTGAGGAGATCTCTCTCTCTCTCTCTCTCTCTCTGTGTGTGTGTGTGTGTTTGTGTGTGTGTGTGTGTGTGTTGCACTGGGAAATACCAATGGTGATATCCCATAAGAAAAGAGCAAAATGCATAGAAGGAGGGAATCTGAGACCAAGAGCGAGAATCTAGCCCAAGATAGTTTGTGTGTTTTCTACCTCTGTAAATGTTCTCCTTTACAAACACAGTCTCCACAACTCCTGGAGTAACAACAGCACAGCACAGTCAATAAGGAAAAAAATATTTTGTGTATAAACACCGGGGTGTCATTAAGGTCAAATTAACAACATTCAAGTTACCATCCAAAAAATACAATGAAATCATTGCTAAAAGAACTTCCCTAGTCCTGAAGTAA